CCCGGGTGCTGATAGCGCGCGCGCACAGGTGAGACCTGAACAGCACACGTTGATATCGGTTTAAGCTAAATTCGTTTACGCTTTGCCAGTTTAAACATTTAAAAGCCAGAGGACGCGAGCTTGCGCGCGCACGCAGTGAGAAAATTTGTGCGTGTGCTCAGCCGAAGCGTGCAAACCCGCGCCTCAGATCGCGCGCAAATATTAAGCTTTCTCTGAAGTATTGTTTAAATGAACAAATTCACACAAAAATTATGTCAAAATACCCGTCTTGGTAAGTATCCTATAGCAGACATAGCCGCCTGAACGTACTGTATCAGTGCACTGGATCAGGGCATTCTCTTAAAGTGACAGCACTTTCTTAATATTAATCAAACTTTGCTTTTATAACTTTAATAAAAATTAATCTTTAATTTATACAGTCAAATATGCAATGGTGTTTTACATTTCATTACTTTATTCAATTTCTGTACCTAAAAACTAATGTTAGACCTACTTAAAAAAAACTGAAAATCACAAACAAAGTTTATTTTATTTGTATCTTTACTCTGTTGTATTTATTTGTGCTGTTGCTTGTAGTTAGATAGATTATTCTTATTTTCTTTCTTTTTGTTTGACAGTATAGTTTTTGCCTAAACATAGCACATACCGAACCATACTGAAACCGTGACTCTAAAACCGTGATACAAACTGAACCGTGAGTAAGTTGAACCGTTCCACCCCTAATATATATATATTGTCACGAATCCGATCCATGAATTTCCATCCACTTGCCACTAGAGGTCGCCCTTCCATGATATTGACTCTCGCACCACACAGACTGTTACACATCACCCTGGACTACATTTCCCATGTTCCATTGCACTGATTACACTCACACCTGAAACCAGTTACACGCTCACCTGATTGCTATTACACACACTATATAAAACCTACCCTGATCCTGCTCTAGTCGCTGAGTATTGTTCTGCATTTTTCACTCCCCAAGTGTTAGCTGCCTTACCGAGCCATTCCGTGTTTTCTGTTTTAGTCTTGTGTATTGTTTTGCGTTTATCCCTGTTTAGCGCATAGCTACCTTACCGAGCCTGTTTGTTTTCATAGTTTTGCCTTGAAAGCTGGGATTAGAACTTTGCTTTCTGCAGACCAGTCAAATTCTTCCACACTGACTGAATCAATCTTTTTTTTTTTTAACCTTGCCTTATACACAGATGCATTGTCATGTTAGAATCAGGGTGTCGGCGGGGATTTAAAAAGTATTAAAAGTTGATAAATCAATTTAGAGAAAATTAAGGCCCTTAATAAGTATTAAAAAGTCTTAAATGCCATTTTCCAAGGTATTATTACTTTTGCTATTGCTTTTGACCATTAGGTATCAGTAACATAATTCATTCAGAACCTTTTCTATGAACAGACTTTCTGTACAACACTATTCTGCTGATATGGAATGAGTATGACTACTTAATCAGTTATATTAATAGAAATGCTTCACTGGGGCAAACAAAAAAATCCTAGAATAAAAAATACGATACCCCATAGCAGCATTTCCAGCAGTATCCAACATTTCTCATTCCAGCTCTAGTCAAAGCATCTCTGATGTTCTGGGGTCTATTTGACATAACAACTTCTTTTTTCCTTAGGAAAAATTCTCTGGGTTTACCAACCGTCTGTGGGTGTTTGGTGCTCTGATGTCTTCTTAGTTTGCAGGGCTTCATGCTTTCATTCGCTAGTCTCTCACCACAGATTACACACTCAATTCTCACCTTGTCCATTGCTTCAATGAAACCGAATTCAAGATAACTGTCCAAATAAGTCCTTGTTTTCTTTTTAGCGCATTCATTTTTATCTTCTCCCTGGCGCTTTGCCATTTTCTCTTTGCTGCGTCTTTTTTTAGTTACGTCTGTACGTTCCCACTCTCGCGATACGCTGCAAAAAATTCTCGACGTTAAGAGAATTTCTTCTCTTTCCATAAATTAATTTTTTTTTTTTTAATATTTAGAATTGAAATATTTATTGTGCTGTTATAAATGAAATATATATATTTTATTTATTTATTTTTAAAAACGAGTGCACTTGGCGACCCCTCGAAAATTATTAGCGACCCCTAGTGGGGGTCGCGACCCCTGGGTTGGGAACCACTGGGCCCCAAAAGTGCGTGGGCCCTTAGAATCGTCCTAACTCCCCCCATACATACAAGTCCTACAGTCCAAGGTTTCAAAGAATAGCACATGCTAGTAGGCGCATGCACCTTTCCACCTGTTCCTTACAGGCTGTACAAAGGAAATATAGCACACATGGAGGTCTTTCTTTCACAGTAGCCTACACCTCAGTAGGAAGCACTTAAGCCTTTGTGAGGAGTTATTGTATGTATGTCCAAGTAGATCTCTGTGGTGCTTTGACACCAGCCATCCTGCTGTTTCAGGGGATAGAAATGGTGATGAAACCTTCAGTGTCAGTGATGTAGAGCAGTCTGCCTGAGGAGCTTTTACAGGAAAATCAAAATAGTTTAGCTTGTAGCAAATAATTTACATATTAGTGGTCTTTTGAGTTTTTGCCTTTATGAATGTTACATACTTGTAAACAGTTGGGTCCCAAAATACAATTATTTAACCTGCGTGTATATCAAAGTGTGTGTTTTCTGCGTAAAAATAAGGGTCGTTTTTGGCTTTGGACTAAAACAAAAAGCAGAAGGACTTATTGAAATTGATTCTCTCTTCATTCTTTAACTTTACGCAAGGAATTAGAGGTCTGCGCGGGACTGTTTTTTTAGGACCGCTCTCGCAAGGTTCTATTCCGCACCCACCCGCTCCCGCTATATATATTCACTCTTTGTTCACCCGCTGTCCGCTTAGAATAATTTTCTTCCCGACCCGACCGTTCCCGGAAAATTTAGATCTCGTTTTCCAGAATCTCACATTTACATTTCCGCTGCTGAAAGAAAGAGAGATAGGTTGACAAATAAAAGTGTAGTCTGCACAAAATTGTATGCTATTTTATTCGTCTTGTCAAGAGTCTGGAATTTATTGACTTTAACTTGAAATTCTATAAATAATCTTAAGACACAAAATTCGTTTAATATTTTATGCAACACAATAGGAAAAAAAGTGTCAGAGAAAATAAAAATGTTGTACAAAAATTGTATTTCTTATTTTTATTGGTCTTGTCAGGATACAATTCGTTTAACATTGACAACACAATAGGGAAAAAGTGTTGCAGAGAGAATTTTTTTTTTAATGTAGGTTGTACAAAAATAGCCTATTAGCTATTTTTATTCGTCTTGTCAAAATACTAAATTCGTTTGACATTTTTCTGTTAACACAGTGTCGCAGATAGATAAAATAAATAAATAAATAAATATGACATCTTTCATTTAAAATTATAGGCTAAGCAAGTGAGTTTGGAGTAAAAATATGTTATTAAATGTGGTATTTTCACATGCTTTCAGATAGAGCAGCATTTACTACACAGAGTCGTAGTTCACTGAGAAGCTATGCAAACAGCTGACATTATCGCGAACGATTTCTTCGATTTCATAATCGCGCAATAAAATCGTCTGCGATTTTTTTGCGTAACTTGTTAGTGAACTACGGCTCTGTGTAGTAAATGCTGCTCCATCTGAAAGCACGTGATGATGATTTACTGCTGATTACAGAACCGGCTTTACTAACAAAATGCGCATGACAATCGCATTCGATTAATCGTGCAGCCCTACTCAAGAGTATCCTGTGTGAGTAACTCTCACCATAGACACCTCACCCAAGTGATGACACGTGGTACCAGATTAAAGTTCCAAGCCATCTTTTTTGTTAGTTTGCTTGGTTTGCTGAAGTCTTGTGTTTTGAGGTCAGAACTGTCAATTTGAAGACGTTATGTTTAAATGAATACAGAAGACAGAAATCCAGAAAAGAAAAACAAAACGGGATGACTTTGAAACAAAATCAAAAACATGGTTTTTGAGGAAGAGGGCTTGTCATGAAACCTGTCCATGTTAGTATCTGCATAATTTGGCTTTTGCAAAGTGACGGAGGGATTTGCACCAAAATACTGTGGAGTTTAATTGGGCCGCATGGCTTTTGATGCCAACAACAAAAGATATGGAAAGTGTTTTCTGCTTTCTCCTTAAGCATTTTTTTTTTAAATGTTGATAATCCTATTTAATTAGCTGTCCTAAATGCACGATTATACAGTTAGTTGCTTTTTATTATTTGCATTTAACATTGTTTTTTTCTGTGCTGTTTTAGAACAGACCTATGGCCCATTTTTGGGTCATGACCCAGCAGCTGGGAACCACTGCTTTAAATATTAAATAGTTATTTTGTTGTTTTTGTTGTTGCTTTTGACGGTATCTTTTGTGCACACCAGGGACTGATGTAGTTTGTATGATTTGCAAGTGGTGTTTATATAAAACATTTTAGTATGACTTTCCCCAATATCTAACAAAAAAGTAGATCTGGTTTGTTTGTTTCTTTCTTTTTTTGTTTCCACTAGTCAGTTTGGAGTGTTATACGTGGAAAGATGGGTCGTTTCTTGACAATATTTTTTTGCAAACTGCAAAAATTATTAATAGTGATCAGCTAATAAATCACATTCTTGGTCTATATGTTGAAAAAATGGAAGGGTGAGTTATACAGTGTCATCTACAATTCGATGTATCAGAATGGTAATGCATTTTATGTTTATCGTTCTCTACAATGTCAGCTAAAAATGTGTTGCTAATGTAACACAAACCATGTTTCCATTTGCCATCTCAAACAGCTAATGATATGAAAAGCCCCACCCAGCAAATTGATGGGATTGGTTGCATATTTGTAATGGCAGGAAATGGGCTGTTTCAAACCGCATTTTTGAGATTGTCTTTGGTACACTGCAGTTCTATGGCAAAAATACTCCGCAGTAGTGTTGACTGATGAATTTGCACATGGTTTGTCTCAAAGCATACTAAAAACACCAGACAGATATGTAAACAACATTAAAAACTTGATTTTCTGCTTTCTTTCTGGTTTCAGATGCTACCTGTTGGATGGAATCTCAAAAGGAGCATGGTTGAATCGTTCCAGTATCATTTACGCAGGGAATGACAAGTGGTCAGGGGATCCTCGCGTGTCCATCGTATCAAATGTGGGGGATAAACATGAATACAGCTTACAGATACAGAAAGTGGATGTAACGGACGAGGGCTTGTACACCTGTTCGATACAAAGTGAACGTAATCTACGCCCAAAGCTCATTCAGTTAATTGTAAAAGGTGAGTGTTTCATCAACAACTGCTTATTTCATCATGGTTTGCCATGTTTTTTATTGATAAAAAAAAAAACGAATTTAGTATTATATTAGCACCTAATTTGGTTTTTAGTTGTGAGGAGGGTCTCTGAAGCTCTGAAGTATTCATTGCATCAACAGCATTTGTCCTCTTTACTGATCATATTTATTAATACTGATAATATAAATTTGTGTTTACATCCATATTCATGACACTATATTTTGACTTCAGAGGGCCCAGCCGCTCTGTCAAAATGTCAAAAATGTTTTGAATCTCTAGGCCACTGCATGCAATTTTACACTACTGCTTAAAGCTTCAACCACTTTTATACGTGTATATGTTTGCAGTCATACTGAAAATATGGATTGAATGTGTTAATAATGACTATGAAATCATCAAACGTTTGGAAAAATCCTTCTTAATGTTTCATTATGTAAATAGGGATTCTAGCTCTACATGTGTGTGTCCCCCTTTTAAGGAGTTGGAGTAAAGTCTGTGAATTAGCCTATAGGCTATAGATAGCAGTTGGAGTGCAGGATTGAGTATTATGTAACACAATTAAATACTGCCATGTTCAAGTGGATCTAAATATAAATTTTTATGGGGTTGTATTGTTATTTTCATATGTATTGATGAATTTTCTTCACAGTGGGCAAATAAGTCGGAAGTAACTGTAAATTGCAAAAATTCGAGTGTCTTTAGAGGAGTGACTCCATTTGTGGTCCAAATTTATGGAGGAAATAATTACATTTTTTCTCCATCTTGCTCAGCAGCATAATTACTGATAATGTCCATGTGGAATAACATTTTACATCATAGTAGTCCATGCACATGGCCACTCTGCAAAACTCATTTTTTATTGTGTTAAATGGGCATCGGTTAATATGGTATATTATTATTTTTTAGTGAGGAAAACATTAATTCTACTGTTAGCTTTGCATATTTTTATTGGTCGTCTATTCTAATCAATATTTTTTAACTCCTTGACTGAATGGTTATTATGAAAAGAATTCCACCAATGTTGTTCTTTGAACAAAACTCCGACTGCCAGCAAGAAATATTGGCATAAACATGTCTGCCTGATAATCCCCTCTTCTCAGTGAATATGCATAACCGTGAGGTCTGCTCTCAGAACTTGTGTACATAAGCTTTATGTGTATGAAGAAAATAATCAGCTTTCGCTATAAACAGGCAATTAAAATAAATGACGCCAGAGGTCAGGTATGCTATTTGTGCATCTTGTTTTTCTGGAGAGTTAAAAAAAAAAAAAAAAAATTAGTTGGAGTTCTTCAATTCAGCTAGGAACATAAATTTAATGTATGTATGTGTTCACATATATGTGTGCATGTACTGTATATATACTGTAGTTTCCTAGCTGATTATCAGAACTCCAAATAGTTTTACATAATGTTTTAATTTCAATTTTTTTTTTTTTATTATATCAACATTTTTTATGTTATTTTGATATATTCTTTGCCGATAATGGAATGTATTTTATTTATATATTTCAATGTATATATATATATATATATATATATATATATATATATATATATATTATTTTACATATTACTAATTATGTATTGACTTTTGAATTTTTTATTAATTCAGAACTATTTTACTAGCTTTTTTCAATTTAGCCACCTATTACCTTGATATCAGCAGTTTCATGAGGTGCCACCTGGGATGCTTTTTAAATTCTATTGAAGGAGTTCCTATGTATTGTGGTTCCCTTGTTGGCTGCTTTTCCTTTACTATTTGTTCCAACTCTTTTAAAATGATTAGCTCATTTAAATTGAATGCAATTTTAGTTTTATAGAGAAATTCATATTTAGGCACAATATGTGTTTGCTACAACACATACATAAAACTGATGATTTTAATGAATATTTCATTACTCTTTTGAGCTGTTATGTAGATATTTGTTTGGTCGCTGGCTTCATCTCACATCCTAGTCATTCCAAGATATTTTAATGATGGATATTTATCTAAATTCTCTGGTAGGCTTATATTGTGTATATTTCTTTTACAGGTTGGAGTATACAGTTGAGACCTCAGTAGGAGGTGCTGACTCTCAGCAGTGGCAAATTTGCTATTTTCTATCTGCATAAATCCACTGTCTATAATTAACTAGAGAAGATCACTGCAAGCACCCTAACCCTCCCTGAGATAAAGCAAACTAATACAGGCCAGTCATATCTGAAGATGTGTAGTTTTATAGGCCGTAACCTGTAGCCCATCACCGAGTCTCTTCTATGTAATTATAATCAACAAAATGAATGTCCTCCTTTTTCACTCTCTTAGCCAAAGGCTGTGTCATGATCATGATGGATCTTTTGTCCTTAATAGAATCCATTACTTGCATGTATCTCTACATGATCTGGGATAATTAATAAGCACTGGTAAGAAAATATACACGCACGGTTGGGGTAATGACAACAATTAAAAAGAGAGAGAACAAAAGCGACAGGAAACACATGAGGAACAGCAGTCTTTTAATAGGAATCGGTGAATGGTAAACTTAATCTCCTGCAGAATTGTATGAGAAATGAAATTGCTAGATTGACTCTTACAGTGGCACAAATCCTGGAACACCAAATCATATGTAATACGATTAAAACGTCTTATTTGTCCTTTATGAAATTTGAACAGACTGTACTTGCGGTCTCTTCGAGCTCTCGATGTATCCTGAACATTTGTGTGGACGAAACAGTTTTGCTAGGTCATTCTTTTTAGCCGACGGGTCAATACTGGGCATCATCTGAGAATGAGTGTGCTTGTTTGTTTTGTAGGGATCGAATGAGGATGGCCCACACACATTTTTCAGAGAATAATCACCTATCTTTTCCACCACTTAAATCTTAGCCTTGTTTACCAGACATACCATTTGTCATAGTCCTCGGTGAGTCACCATCAAATAGAGCAGTTTGAGACCGCCACATTATTCTTTTATATATGTGCTCAGTTAGTGAATGACAGATCAAATGTATTGCTATTCTGCACATAGGCCCTATATATTTAACTTAGCTAAATATTAGGAGTGATGGTCTGTTTGTCATCAGCAACCACCATTTTGTTTATTGTGGAAGATGAACCAAAGAAATAAGGCAGCTTGACACTGCGCATATTCCAATATTGTGGCAACAATGAAATTGAAAAAAAAGCAAGTTTTGATTGCTTGTTTTTTAACAATGACTGGAGAAAATTAGATTTTATCTGAATATGTAATGTCGCTCACTGTCCGGGACCGCAATTGTTATTTGAAAATGTTAACTTTAAGGGAAGGAACCAGATTGGCCGACTCGTAATCGTCAATGGATTGACGATCTGACAGGAATGGCCTGACACACCTACCAGACAGAGAAATCGAGCGTGCATAGTAAATAGAAACTGAGGGCATATAAATCTTTAGGTGCTTATAACTATGTACTAACAGTGGCAATTGTAAGCATATGCACTTGAACACACACCTGACACATTTCAGGTTTATTTGACAGGGACAATGCACATCAATAATACATAAATGTACAATGTGCCAGAATTAGCCAGAAGGCTATTTTGCATCTGCAGTCCCTGGACTGATGGTAAAATTGTCACACTAAAAATATAAAGAATTAATCAATACATAATACTTACATACTCCAAAATACATATAACATTCACACTATTCCTAAAAAAAACATCCGCTTAAAAGTTATACTATACACAGAACCAACAAATCAATACCAGCTCACTCATGCACACAATCCAACTGTCAAACAAAATGACAAACAATGTATCAATAATATCATAATATCAATATACAGACAAAGATAATGTAAGCATACAGACAAGTAACAGTAGCCCTAATCATTCAATCAGTCCTAAACCAAACAATCTCATATACATAGCATAAACATGGGCCTTCACCGTTCCCTCTCTTTCTACAATTGCCATAAGTGCAATTGTAGAAAGCGAGATGACACAACTTCCCCAATTTTTGATTAGGTGGGCATGCATGAGAAATCTTTAGACTTGTAACCAAACCATAATCCATAAAAGATAATAGTTTATTTAACCTTAACTGATATTAAGTGTGCGCTGCAAACGCGAAAATTTTTGATGATTGTTTCTGTCCAGTCCTCTCGTTTTATTACAGCTGTCATCGTTTTTTTGTCTAGCAATGGCAGCAGGCAGGGGCGGATTAAGGTGGTCAGGGGCCCCTAGGCTGCTCATTGTGTGAGGCCCCCCCTTAATCATTATGCTTTCCTGGAGAAATGTATTTAGTGCCGTACATGGTCCACACGCAAATAGTAAAGTGAATTGGCATGCACACACATTGAGACAGCCAATCCTACAGTGTTTCCTCTACATTCCCAGTGTCCCCACAGGATTTTGTGAGACTGTGATGGGTGTACATTGGTTCCTCTAGTCTAGGGAGTTCTGCGGGTATAAGAAAATTTTGTTAATTTTAAATTTAAATGCATAGATCTTATAAAAGCTACAAATGCCATTCTGTCAAGAGCAGGGAATTATTTTTCTCCTCGTCTTTTGTTGTTTGATTATCATGTCGACACTTAACTCAAGACACGAGACGAGACACGAGATGTTTACGCATTTTTAAAAAACATTCTCGATGACCAAGTACATGACTGGAATAATTAATTTAACTAATCATCTTGTAATAAATGTCATTTCAGTTCTACTTTCTGAGTATGAATTATCATATGCAGTAAAAGCAACAAAACTCAAGCACTGTAAAAGGTTTTGTTCAACTGACTGGCTTCTCTCCTGTATGATTTCATACAAGTCTCTTCAGACCTTAGAACTGTACATGAATTATAAGCTTCTAGAACGTTTGACCTCCTAACTGAACTCCTTTTCATAAATTGAACATAGAAATAAAAACAGTATAAATAACAAAAAATAAACGACAGTTCTTTCTTAGTCATATTAAGTGCGAACAATAAGTGCTCTCTCTATATTCAAAGTGCAAATAGAGACCA